ATAGCATTGGAAAGCAGCACTTTGTAATAAGATTTAAAAAGCTGATGTTTCAAAAATGTCAGCAAGTCCAGACATATGTAGTGCTTGAAAGTAGACAGACATCATGTTTTGCTTTATATAGTCTATCACTACTGTATTATCGTTCTTAACAGGGACTTGTACCACTTTTCTCTTACTCCTCCTTCTCTGAAGTAATAAATTAAACCCCCCAACAGATGTGCTGACTGTCTTTGTGACATAAGAAAGCAAAGAAACGGGGGAACTTGATAATACACAGGACATGAGGCTAAAAGCTGGAGGAGTTTGACCTTTTCACTCTTCAATCCCTTCTGCTTTTAGAATCACATAGTATCATCTGTTTTCTCTGGTAATGCTACTCACTAATTTAAAGGGACAGACTCATGGGGAAATGTATGTAACCCATAGGTACTCTTATTCCATGATTATTTCTTTAAAGTTTTAAATATGTCATAAACAGAAGAACTATTGATGCAGGATTATTTACCTGAACTTTATATTACAATTTAAAACAGAATCTATTCTCCTTATATTAAAGTAGTAGTAAGATTGCACAGAATACAAAAAGTCAGAAAATGCCAAGTTACATTTGAATGAGCATCCTTAATTGTGCCCTTTGTGTAATATACATTACAGTACAGTCTTTCATTAATTACAAGATATCACCATACAACTTTTTCTACAGCTTTAGACCCACATGGCATCTGGTAGTACAGTCTTGTACTATCTTGTGTTCCAATCAAGCAGAGCCCATGCAAGTCATTTATATGAAAGATACTTAGTAACTGCACCTACGAGCAATACTACAGAAAAGATATATAATAGAGAGTAACGATGGAAAAATTGCTGCCATATTTATAGACGCCTTTGTTTGCAGCATAGTTGACTGCTTAATGCTTGGAACTGCACCTCTGGAAGGCTGTAATATTGGTTGAAAGGAACATACATATGGGTGCTAACAAAATTATTAAAATACATATCTTAGAGAAGAGAACGCAACATATAAAAAAAGTCTTATGAAGTCAATCCAGAGAGATGGTATCATATGGCAGTACTGTTAGTGCAAGTATAAAATGTAAAACTACAGTAAGATGCTACACAACATATATATGTAAGGCTGTATAAAAATGTATTCTATAACATATATTAAATTGAGGTTATGTAATCAAGTAATTAAAGATTAACATACATGCAAGCAGCACATAATTATTTGTTGCCTGAGCACTTAGAAGCCCTAAGCAGGATGCCCTGGAGCTGTCCAATCACAGAACAATGAAATCTTATACTGTGTCATTTCCTGATTTACTTATTTAATCATGGAATCTCCATGTTCTCTTAATACATTTTTTGCATGGAATTTCCTAGGGTTTTTTTGTTTTGTTATTACTACTATTATTTATTTGTGTTATGGTAGCACCTAGGAGCCCAGTCATGGACCAGGACCCTGTGCTGCACATACAGGAAGTAAAAACAAAAAGCAGCTTCAGTCTGGCAGGACTGTGGATCTCTGCTAACGTGCCAGAAATTGACAATAGCATTCGTGAGTTCCATAATTTGGAACACATTTTCTAGATATCACAGTAATACCCTGTCTTATACATAGGCCTGGCAGAATTCAATTTTGTATATAATTTTGACAGATAATCTATGTTTATTTAAGCATTTATGTAGATTATCATCAATTTAAATTTCATAGTTTGATGAAATTATGGGGAGGAGTTCAGACAATTATTTAATGACAGTAGACCATGAAATTCAAAAAGTTATGAAGTTTAACTGTTAAAACACAAATTGTCAACTTCACATGTCAAAACATACAAAGTAAATATTCTTAAATCAAACTCTAAAAAGTTCTCAAGCAGCATGTTCTTTGTCTATCTAATTTTTGATTATCATTAGTGGAAATTTTTTTGTCGGTTTGTGTGTGTACAGTGAAATTGACACTTACTAACATTTACTGATAAAAACAGAATCCTTTCAAGCCTACTTGTGTCTTTGGAGGTCTTCCAGAAGGGACCCTTCTCCTGACAATTGGAGCAGTGGAGCACCTCATGCAACATAGCCTGTGGGGCAGATGGAAGCATTTTTCTTCCCTCATGCATCTGCCCATCAACTAGTTACAGAAGATTTGCCCTTTAATGTTTAGCCCCTTGTGCGGGCGATATGCACTGGGGTAAATTTCACTTCCTGTGTACCGTCTCTAGCTAGAATAGGAAAGGGAGTGTCCCTCAGTAAATAGGTTTTGATACAAACTATGGAGTCATTGTGTGTCTCTTTACTAACATTCTTTAATCTCTTAATGAAAAGTTGCATTGCCTCCCATGAGTTATGCGGCCTCCTTTTCCCCATGAACCACTGAGGACAGAAGCAGAATTCAGCTGCTGCAGCTATGCCTGTCTGGTGGTATATTTACATTAAGATGACAGAAGATATTTTGTCATATAGTTACCTGGTTTGCTTCTGGAACGCCTTTTTGAAAATCGTAGAGTTTGGGCTGTAGTGTTTGTGCCAAACAATGCATATTTCTGGGTATCTAACCAGAAGCTTCAGGATAGCTCTCATTCCCTGAATCAGGCTGAAAAAGACTGGCTTCCCTGCCAGCTGCCAGATGGAGATTGTGATGAGCTCTATAGCATAGGAAGAAGGAAGCCTGCGAAACCTAAATACACCGAACACAGACTTAGCACATCACAAAGTCTACACAGGACACTCTTACAAACAAAATGCAAGTAAAAACAAACACTAACAAGCCGCAAAAGTCAGCTTTGTACTTTCATGCTGTTTGTTATCCATTGCAAACATTATGCTGTTGTCCCCAGTCAGGGCCTTCAATAGGGGCACTGAAAAGTTTATTTATTCTGCATAATAAAGAAAATTGATCAGTAAAAAGGAGAGAGCAGCTTTGTGGTTAAATTACAAATGTGTCCAGATCAGGTACAGAATGCATCAAGAATATGCCATACATTCTGCTGTGCAAGCTGAGCCATGGATGCCAGAAGTCACAAGCCATAGCACTAGCTCTATGGCCCAATAGCTGAAAGAATAAGCTCATGATGCCAAAGAAAGAATTGGAACCATTTACGACCATCACAAATGCCTCTGATTACATTGTAGCATTGGGTGAAGAAAAGAGACAGACCATACACCACCAAAAGTGAGATGGCTTCAGTTTAAGGCCTCAATTCTGCTCCTATTGAAGTAGAGGGCAAAACTCCCATTCGACTTCAGTGGTGCAAAAATTAGGCTCAGAGGGAATATCTGCACTGCAATAAACCACTTGCAGCTGGCCCATGTCAGCTGACTCAGGCACACGGGGCTCTGGCTATGATGCTATACAATTGGAGTGCAGACATTCAAGCTCAGGCTGGCGCTCAGGCTCTGGGATCCCATAACGGGGGAGGGTACAAAAGCCCAGGCACCAGCCTGATCCCGAACATCTACACTGCTCAGCCCCACAGCCTGAGCCCTGCTGCAGGCTTTTATTGCAATGTAGACATACCCAAGGAGTCTTGGTATAATTTAAGGGTATGTCTACCCTGCAATTTAAGCCCAGGGTTCAAATTCAGGCTCAAGCTTATCTCCACTTCTGACTACATGCAAATTATGCTAAGCCAGGGCTTGGACCTACAGAGAACATGAAAAGGTGAGAGTTGCCCAACCAACTCTGAGGCTAATTAATTAATTAATTAATTCTCTGTATGTGTGTATATATATATCTCCTCACTATATGTTCCATTCTATGCATCCGATGAAGTGAGCTGTAGCCCACGAAAGCTTATGCTCAAATAAATTTGTTAGTTTCTAAGGTGCCACAAGTACTCCTGTTCTTTTTGCGGATACAGACTAACATGGCTGCTACTCTGAAACCTGTCAGAATCCTTCACTTACACATCAGCTTTATTCAGCATACAAAACTTACCCTCAGCACCACTTGAAACCAGATGCACCTCCAGTACTGCAGGAAAATGCTAAATACCCTTCCTGCACCAGTAAGAACTACTGCAATTGGCAGAGAGGGAAAGCATATTTAGTTCCCTTGGAGAAGGAAACTTTAGTTTCCACTGGGGACTTCATCAGAGCCCTGCCAGAGGAGGCTAATAGGGAAACGCACCAAATCACCCCAAGTCACACTATGACTATGGGCAGCGCTGGCCATTTTTTGTGCAAAAAGTAGAATTGTAGCCCCCTCCCTCTTAGTGGAATTTTTGCTGCTGGCGCTGTTTTTCTGGTGCAAATCCTGAAGTGAATCTGGCTCATCTGAAAACAGCTAAAGAGGAAAGAGCTGGAATCAGTAACCTAAGGAAGTATTATTGTTATAGCCCTATTTCATAGATAGGAACTGAAGCACAGAAAGATTAACTGACTCGCCCAAGGTCACACAGGAAGACTAAAGCAGAACTGAAAATTGAACAGAGTTCCGATCCCGTGTGTTATCTACAAAACCATTCTTCTTTCACTTTACTCTCCAGAATGTACATTCCACCTACATACTAGGTTAATTTTTCAGAATAGTAATTCAGAATTAATAAATAAGCAGAAGTTACTTATTGTAAAAGGCTCTGTTTATTCAGCTGATTTGCTTCACACCTTTTTAACAGTGTGTGCCAGATTTCTACTCTGTTTGGTTTGGAAAGGTTTGAAAAGTCCAGCGAGCCATGCATTTGCAGAAACTGTCTTGTCAGCCGTACAGGTGGAGGGTCGTTTATCCCAATCAACAGTGAGTCACTTTAATTGGAAAAAGAGAATGCCAAGCCAATATATTAATAATACTAGCACAGCTGTGCAGTATTTTCTCTTCCTCTCCATTCCCCCTATCCCTTCTTGCTCGAGGGCACTGTCTAATTGGATCACATTCTAGTTCAGTTATAAAACAGCCATTAAGATGTAGTGGAGAAGCATAATACACACATTATGTAAAATCCATTATACAGTACTCACTGTTCATTCTTCAAAAACATAAGGATGTTAAAAGGAAAAGAGGCTCAAGTGTTAGTTACATACTTATTTTGTGCTGTTGGTTTAGCAAATGAAGTCCTGAACCAATGCTTAACCAAACGAATCAGGTCCTTCACCTTCATGGTAGATGCCTTGATAAACTCAACCTGGTACTGCAGCAGGGACATTGAGTACAGCTGGATTTCATCCGTGTCATTACAGAGATAGATCTTGTGGTAAAAGCTCTGTTTTAAACCTGTTAACACCAAGAAAAGGATAAGACTGCATTCCCTAATATTTTACTTTTTTGTTTTAAATAGTGAGGCTTCATAACAGCTATAAAATCCTGTTAAATATCGCACAAGTCCATAATATTAACAAGTCCACTTCATATCCAGACTAAATTCATTCCAAGTTTGGTGGCATACAAAAACATGCAAGATCCAGTAATGTTATTAGGAGAATATTATGTTTAACAAACAGATTTAATCTCCTATGCAAGAGATTATCCAAAAAAAACTGCTAGGTTTGTGTGGGTTTTTTTCCTATCCCTCTCCCCACATCTCTCCCTATAGTTATTTATTTTCTGGTTGATAGCTGTTATACATTCTGCATATGCATACATGGACACACAAACGATTAAAATAATGCTCCCCTATTAGGAAAGTTCCTGATTTGGGCATCCCCATTTTAGTTTGTTCCACAATCTGTGTGGAAAATGGAAAATTATAATCATGATTTTTTAAAGTTAAAAATTGGGGCCAAATTTTTTTTAAATACACGTTATTGAATGTACAAAAAAATTTTCATGATGCACACACAGTTATTTGGACTGCATGAACATCAACCATGTGAACAGTTAGTTGTGACTAATTATCTATTTGCATGTTTTTCATAAATTCAGATTCCCAGGCAGAAGGGAATATTGTGATCTTCTAATCTGACTTCCTGTACAACGCAGGCCACAGAACTTCCCCAAAATAATTCCTAGTGCATCTCTCTTAGAAAAACATCCAATCTTGATTCAGAAATGGACAGTGATGGAAATTCCACCACGACCCTTGGTAAATTGTTCCAATGGTTAATTACTCTGGTTGTTAGAATTTACACCTTATTTCCAGTCTGAATTTGTCTAGCTTCAATTTCTAGCCATTGGACTGTGTTACACCTTTCTCTGCTAGACTGAAGAACCCATTACTAAATATTTGTTCTCCATGTAGATACTTACAGACTGTAATCAAGTCACCACTTAACTGACCCTTTATTGAACTAAATAAATTGAGTTCTGAGTCTGTCACTATAAGGCATGCTTTCCAATCCTTTAATCATTCTCGTGCTCTTCTCTGAACTGTCTCCAATTTATCAACATCCTTCTTGAATTGTGGGCACCAGAACTGGATGCAGTATTCCAGCAGCAGTCACACCAGTGCTAAATATAATGGTAAAATAACTTCTCTATTCCTATGCAAGATTCCCCTGTTTATGCATTCCACGATAGCATTAACTCCTTTGGCAACAGCATAAAACTGGGAACTCGTGTTCAGCCAATTATCCACCCCCACCCCCCAAATCTTTTTCAGAGTCACTGCTTCCAGGGATAGAGTCCCCCATTCTATAAGTATGGCCTATAGTCTTTGTTACCAGATGTTTACATTTACATTTGGTCATATGAAAACACATAATTTGTCTGCACACAGTTTACCAAGCGATCCAGATCGCTCTGAATCAGTGACCTATATACACACCTGATTTGTGTGTGCAACTGCAGATATTGCACACACAGGGTATGTGTACACTCCAGTTGGAGGTGTGATTGCAGCACATGTATGCATACCCTCCTTAGCTTTGTTCAAACTAGCTCATTAAAAATAGCAGAGAAGCCATAGCACACAGGTGGCAGAAAAATGGGACCAGATCACAAGCCAATGGCAAGCTTGTGCTGTTGCAGCTTCATTCCTATTATTAGTAAACTAGCTCACACCTCCCAACTGTAGTGTAGACATACCCGCAATGGCTATGTCATTTTTGAAAATCAAGCCCTTTATGCCAAATGAAGATCCAATGATTCTCATACATCTAAAGTTGTTAAGAAGAGACATGAAGTATACCTAGAAATACACTGTGGAATGGAATCTATTAACTAAATACAGAAAGAATTGCACAAATTAGACATTGCATCTGAATACCTAGTTTATAGGTGTTTGATGGTTCCTGCATAGAGAGAGTGTGTGTGTTTGTGTATGTATGTATGTATGGGAAGGCGCTTGGAGTTTAAAAGCATCACAGTCATTAGCAAGTAGTGAGGCAAAAGTGCCATTTCCCCCAAAATTCTATAACAGATTATAATCTATAGAGAATACTATAACCATCAAAACTAAAATAGATGTATAGCCTGGATTCACAAGGCATAGCTGGAACATTATGCAATTTATACAGCTATATGATGGGTATAAAATGGTCACGAGTGATCATTCCCTGATAAAGAAAGTTTCTCCCCAAAGGAAAACATTCATCCCCTACCTGTTGATGGCGCAGGCCCCAGCATGTCATAGCAAGGCATGATATCAAACGAGTGACCATGGTGATTCTTATAGCATTTGAAATGAAACCGTAGGGATGACTGGGTCCTTTTCTCCATCATTATCCTAAAACAAACCTTAGTTAAAAAATATTACTGAACAGTAATACTGGGGGAAGGAAGGGTTCAACGGTTTCCAATCTTCCTACTGTGTAGTAAGGATGGAGGAAGGTGGCTGGAAAGTCTCCTTTCTCAGAAATAAGAGACTATATCAGTCTGTACGCTATTTGCAAAAGGCCACATGGAGGTCTCAGGGCCAAATTAACCACCGGTGTAAATGGAATAAACACTACTGAAGTCAGCAAACTCATGCTTGTTTACACCAGTGGCCAGTCTGGCCCTTCATATTTCTTTTAGAAGGCTAGTAATTTATAAACATCTCATAGCAATACATTTACTGACGTGTATAAAATGCAAAACCTCACATTAATAAGAAATGAAGGTCAATTTCTCAAACTAGCCAGTAGTGTAAGTGGTTTTGTCATATTCTTGCTTTTCGCTGCTGGGTGGTAAAAATAAGAGGAAATACAAAGAAAACAGAGTACACCACCTGTCCATTAAACTCCCTCTGGAACACTCCTATACCAGTATCCACTTCCTGGACACCATGATCAACTTCAACAATGGAACCCTACAGACAGCTACATACAAAAGAATCCAGCGATCATCACACCTACCTCATAGATCCAGTAATCAAGCCAAGAAATCTGTTCTCTACAGCCAGGTGCTCAGATACCACAGAATATACTCGGAGGAGAAATTCCGGGATATATACCTTAACACACTCAAAACCACCTTCACCATACAAGGACACTCCACCAGAGAAGTAGATTGCATCACGGAATGGGCCATCCAAATACCCTGAAAGAACCTCATTCAATACAGAAATAAAACCTCTGACTGCATGCCCTTAGTTGTCACCTAACACCCCACACTGGAACCTACATGGGATATCATCAAACAACTACAACCCATACTCATGGGGACCCCATCTTGAAAGAATTCTTTCCTGACCCCCCCTCCCCGCCCCTTTCTGGCCTTCAAACAACCCTGAAGCCTCTCCAAGCTCATCATCAGAAGCAAGATCCCCACAGACCGGGACACTCCAACTCAAAGTGGCACCAGACTCTACCAGAACAACAGATGCAAAACCTGCACACATATCTCCACTGCTACAATGATCAACACCCCTTCCCCAACAGACCTTTCAAGTTCCAAAGGTCCTACACATATGGTATACCTCATCCAGTGCACTAAATATCCCAATAGCAACTATGTGGGTGAAATCAATCACTACACTCTCGAATGAAATCTCACAGGAAAATGATATCAGACAAAAACACCATATTACCTGTGAGTGAACACTTTCCACAAAGGGATCACTCCATATTGGACTTAGTCCTCATCCTCAAAGGAAACCTGCACAACACTTTCAAAAGGTGAGCCTGGGAGCTTAAATTCATAACTTTATTCAGTCCATGATTTTTAGTGTCTGGCGGAGACACTGGATTATGGCTTATTACAACAATCTGTAACACACTAACAACTGCCTCCCATCCCCGCCCTTCCTTTCCTCCTTATGACTGGATGAGCCATAGGCCACTTAACACATATTTCAAGGGACCATTCAGTGTGAACTACTTATGCTAAATGATCTGTTCCATCTTGTATTCAGCTGTGACACTGTGAGGCTATGGGCTTGCCTACACTGGAACTTTACAGCGCTGCAACTTTCTCACTCAGGGGTGTGAAAAAACACCCCCCAGAGCGCAGCAAGTTACAGTGCTGTAAAGCGCCAGTGTAGACAGTGCACCAGCGCTGGGAGCTGTGCTCCCAGTGCTGGTAGCTACACCCCTCGTGGAGGTGGTATTTTAAGAGCACTGGGAGAGCTCTCTCCCATGACCACACAAGCCACGTAAAAGCGCTGCCACGGCAGTGCTTTAACGTTGCCAGTGTAGACTAGCCCTATATGTTTACACTACAAAGCTTACAGCGGCACAGCCATACCGCTGTAGCTGCACTGCTGTAAGATCTCTTGTGTAGCCACACTATGCTGACAAGTGAGAGCTCTCCCATCGACATAATTAAACCACCCCCAAAGAGTGGTGGTAGCTATGTTGGCAGGAGAAGCTCTCCCATCAACATAGTGCTTTTTTTACACCCCTGAGTGACTTAAATTTTGCCGACATCAGTGGTAGTGTAGACATGGCCTAAGTTTTCCAGGCCTGAAGAAGAGCTGTGTGAAAGCTCAAAAGCTTGTCTCTCTCACCAACAGAAGTTGATCCAATAAAATATGTTACCTCATCCACCTTCACACTCTAATATCCTGGGAGTGACATGGCTACAACAACACTGCATACAGAGTACAACCCTGTAATCTGAGCACTGGTTATAGTTAATGGTTCAGGCTGGGAAAAAATCAAGCAAACAGAAGAAACAAGGAAACCCAAAAGTTAAAGTTTCTATAATATAGCACTTCCTGCATACTGGACAACATAAGGACATAAGAACAGCCATACTGGGTCAGACCAAAAGGTCAATCTAGCCCATTATCCTGTCTTCCGACAGTGGCCAATGCCAAGTGCCCCAGAGGGAATGAACAGAACAGATAATCATCAAGTGATCCATCCCCTGTCGCCCATTCCCAGCTTCTGGCAAACAGAGGCTAGGGACACCATCCCTGCCCATCCCGGCTAATAGACATTGATGGATCCTATCCTCCATGAATTTATCTAGTTCTTTTTTGAACCCTGTTATAGTCTTGGCCTTTACTACATCCTCCGCCAAAAGGTTCCATAGGTTGACTGTGCGTTGTGTGAAGAAATACTTCCTTTTGTTTGTTTTAAACCTGCTGCCTATTAATTTCATTTGGTGATCCCTAGTTCTTGTGTTATGAGAAGGAGTAAATAACACTTCTTATTTACTCTCTCCACACCAATCATGATTTTATAGACTTCTATCGTATCCCCCTTAGTCCTCTCTTTTCCAAGCTGAAAAGTCTCAGGCTTATTAATCTCTCCTCATATGGAAGCCGTTGCACACCCCTAGTCATTTTTGTTACCCTTTCCTGAATCTTTTCCAATTCCAATAGATCTTTTTTGAGATGGGGCGACCACATCTGCATGCAGTATTCAAGATGTGGGCACACCATGGATTTATATAGATACAATATGATATTTTCTGTCTTATTAACTATCCCTTTCTTAAGGATTCCCAACATTCTGTTCATTTTTTTGACTGCCGCTGCACATTGAGTGGATGTTTTCAGAAAACTATCCACAATGACTCCAAGATCTCTTTCTTGAGTGGTAACAGCTAATTTAGACCCCATCATTTTATATGTATAATTGGGATTATGTTTTCCAATGTGCATTACTTTGCATTTATCAACATTGAATTTCATTTGCCATTTTGTTGTCCAGTCATCCAGTTTTGTGAGATCCTTTTTTAGCTCTTCGCAGTCTGCTTGGGACTTAACTATCTTGAGTAGTTTTGTATCATCTGCAAATTTTGCCACCTCACTGTTTACCCCTTTTTCCAGATAACAACATAGACCAATAACAGAGGAAAATAGGAATAAAAATCGTATAGCCCTCATTCAACAAAGCACTTAAGCACATGCTTAACCTTAAGCACAAGATTTTCATAAACTCATAGATTTTTAGGTCAGAAGATACCATTATATCATTCTAGTCTGACCTAACATGGACTTCAATAGGACTTAAGCAAGTGCTTTAGTGAAAGCACTTGCTGAAAAAGGACCATGTCTTTTTATTCCTGTGTTCCTTTATATTATTGGTTTATGTTGTTAGATATATGTGCAATGTTGCAGAGTAAGTGTGGCTGTAGAATCCCTAACTTCTGCATTAATATACACAAACATTCAGATGAGGCTGGTAGCTGGACCTGTTACGAAGGTTGTCCGACACTTCCCAGTAGAAGACCCTGTTTCCAGTTGCTTATAACTTTGCCAAATGATAATAGTTGAGGCTGAAATTTTGCATGCCAGTTGCCTCCCTCAGGCTGAATCTTCTTGGAAATTTTGGCTGAAACTTTCCAAAAACAAGGACAGGGAAAATATGTTCTGCAATATTAAAAAATAAGCTGGTGATTTTTTCTAGCTCCCCCGTGCTTTTAAAACAGGGACTTGAAATTTTGCAGAGGTGACCTGTGTGTCAGAGATGTGCCTTTTGCTGTTCCTGAGAAAATCTGCTCAAATTTGCCCAAGTTATACACCTTTGAAAAAAAATCTCCATTTGCACATGCTCAGTAAATTCTTGCTAAAGTTTAGCAGCTAAAATTTCTGGTTTCCATCCTCACTGAGACTTCTGCAGCCTCTCACAGTTCCTAGTGCTGACCACACTGTGCACGTGCCATCTCTACAAAGCGGCTAAGTATGCTCCAGCCCAGGACTACATGATCTCACTGGGACTTTCTTTGCAATCACAGCTCCCAACCAGCATGGATCAGGGTGGAGATGGGCCCAGAATTGAGAGCAGGAAGCCTGTCTCTCCTGTGCTCTTAATGACCCTCTTGCTGGCACCACGTAGTGTTGTGGAGGAAACCATCTGACTCTAATGCCGTGGGGATAAAAGGCAGATTGGGGGGCAGGGATACAACTAGACTGGGACAAGGATCCTGGTGAGGATGGGACTGGAGTGGGGAAAGAAAAGGGAAACTGTTACTGGGAATTGGGAGGGACAGGAACTGATTGGGTAAAGAGGAGGGGAGACAGATCTGACAAGTAGCCAAGGGGCAGAACCGGGATTAGCTGAGGAGGGAAGAGATTGGAACAAGGAGCCAGGGAAGGAGTGAGATATAAAGAGGGAAACAGAGTGAATGAAGATGCTGAGGACAGACAGACTGTGTGTGTGAAATCACTGGAGGCTGGTGGGAAGGTGAGAGACAGATCAGATGAGGAGCTGGGAGGTGGGAACCGGGACTGGCTGGACAAAGAGACTGGGACTCAGATCAGGGGCCTGAAGATGGAGACTATTGGCTGGGCAAAGAGACTGGGATGAGAAGCCTGAGGAAAGGAGACTGGGTAGGTCAGGAAAGTAGGAACGGGACTGAGATGAGGATGGGTGACCAGATGTCCCAATTTTATAGGGACAGTCCTGATATTGGGGTCTTTTTCTTATATAGGCTCCTATTATCCCCCCACCCCCGTCCCAATTTTTCACATTTGCTGTCTGGTCACCCTAGATGAGGAGACACTGGTAGGAAAGAGACAGAACTGGGACATGAACAGGTTGGAAGGGACAAGCCAGAAGAGGTTAAGTTTTGGGCAAGAACAGACAGTCTGACTATTAGAGAACAATCCCCTCTCCTGTGACTATTAGAGAACAATGGAACCCAAGTTTCCTGAGTCTCACCACTCCTTTACGGTCAGCAAATATCTGTGAAATTCACTGGCGAAATGTGTGTGTCCCAGCCCCCTCTCGTACTAGTCCACACAGAGGCTATTAACCTACTACTGCTACCAGTTACTCTGTTAGTTAAAGTGGCAGAGGTCTGGTGTGGTTAACCTAAATGTTCCAACCCTGCTGATGTCAATAAGATGCCACATTAAAAAGTTTTTAAAAAGAAAACTGAAGAAAAAATGCTAAGTAATTTTACACAAAAACTATGATAAAAGAACATTATTCAATTGCAAAGTCAAGCAGTGCAAAGTTAGGAAATGCCAGAATTAAGGTTGCCTGTGCTCCCCCTGAGAGTATGCCGTATGATACAGTCTTTAATTACATTATCATATACTAATTTTCCACAAGATCCCTGCATCAATCCATGCACAAAATGGAACTGGGCTGGGGATGGATCACAGTTGTGTAGTGAAGGAGATTGTCTGTAGGATCTCTGCCTCATTTGTTACAGAAGTTGGATGGTGTCTAGTGAATGAGGCAGGGGACTACAGAAAATGAGAAGAAGGTCTCATGGGTAAAGTTGAATTCTGCCCTGGAGAACTGCATTCTATCCCTGTCTCTACCCCAGAGTCCTTATGTATTGCTAGGCAAGTCACTTAAATTCAGCTTTTCACAGGTGATCACAAATTGTCTATTCCTCCTTTTCTGAGTGCTTGACTTGAGACCCCAATGTTTGATTTCCAGAAGTGCTGAGCACTCCCAGGTATAGCTGAAGTCAGTGGGAACTGTGGTTTGAACATATAAAGTAATATATATTAAGTAGAGCTATCCAGGAATGGATTTTTCATTTCAGCGGAGTTTTGTGATTTCAAGATGTTTGCCATTACAGAATAGAACATCAATCAATTAATTAAATAAATAAAACAAACAAACTTTGAAATTTCCTATGAATCAAAATTCCAAATAAAATGAAATAAAAAAAAATCTAATTCCAGATCAACCAAAACATTTTGTTTTGATAAAGCTGAAATGCTTCTGTCCAATTACAACTTTTTTCAAGTGGGACCAACAGGCAGAAATTTGTCTGTGAGTCTACTGAAACCTAGGCCAAGTCTATGGTACAAACTTCTGTGCACATAGCTATGCCAGTCAGGGTGTGAAGAGGTGTGATCCCTGACTGACACAGCGGTGCCAGCAAAAGCTTTTGCCCAAATAGCTTACTTCATTTGGGGAAGGCCGGAATATGCTATGTTGGCAAAAGTGCAGTATTGCCACTATAAGCTGCATCCACACTAGGAACATTTCGCAAGTGCAATGTACTGGTATAGCAAAGCACTCCCAGTGGAGACTTATTCACAGCTAGAAAGGACAACAGAAGGGCTATGAAAATGAATGATACTGAACAAACACTGCCATTCACAGTAAGAGATACACGCACACAAAAAATATTCACCACACCTAGCAATGCAAACTGGAGATATTTTTAAGACCCTACAAGATGTGTCTTAATAGCTTCTATATTCTTTAAAATGAATTTCCACTTAAAAGGCATATGGCATATGTTTATATAAATAAACGCATTATGAGTGTATACAAATTAATGCTCATGAAGTATGAAACTATCATTTGGTGTATGCAATCCGGTCAAGCCTAGCCGCAGTTTTTTTTATCAACAATGTTCAAGGCACGAAGACCTCCAGGAAGTTGAGTCATTTTGCAGTCCTCAACAACGTGTGTCATGCTTTGTGGCTGCCCATACTGACATAGTAGACTGTCTCTAAAACATGAAGTATGAAAGATACCAGATTACAGACCCCAGGGACACCAGACATCCCTTCGTTCACTGAACAGGTACAACACAGGCAGTAGCGGTGCAAGCTTCTACACTTTGCTCACCAGCGTGCCTCAGCTCAGAACTGGAGGGCCTGCCTCTGTAGGCAAAATGGCCTGTTTCCATGACTATTCAAACCTTGGCCTCTCATTCAAGACTGCCAATAAAGATGCCAATTATTGTCTATTGTCATGGTCATTCTTGGGATGTGAGCACCTCTCCACTGGAATCTGGACGGGGACCACGAAACATATTTCACATAGGTTGCCCACAGCCATGGTAACAACTTCAGGTCCCTTCTGTTTGAGATGGATTCAAACCACTGACCTAGAGTTAAAAAACCTCTATATTTTATTGCTCATCCCCTGTCACCCAGTCCTCCCTCCCTCCCTAATTCTCCCCTCTAACTTGTCCCACCACAATCTCAGTGCCTCCTCTCCAGAAGGAGTATTTATATGCAGTTTCTGGAGTGACACTGGGTTGGATTAAAATTAAATATAAAAACAGGTTGATCTCAAACGGGATCCCAAATGTTTTTTATGAGGCATCTTATGGGAAACAAAACCCATGTGCATTTTGGGTTGGATGGGACTTCCACTACAGAAAAAATATTTAGGGGACACTCTTTGGCTTTCATGATAAAACAATTCATCACTGGCGATATCGCCACATCTCTTTCCACAACCTCAAAATCCCACAGCCTGGGAGTATACAATACACCCTGTGCCTGCGCAGCAGACACAAGAGTCCCCTGAAAACTAGGTCTGCTGCCTCCATGTATCCCACACACACACACACACACACACCATGGATCACCAGCTGTCATGATTAGTCAAAGCAGAAAGATACCATTCTGTTGCTTTCATTCATGCTAGAGAAGCTAGAGGGTGAAGGTGCAAAGTGGGAGAAAATGATGAATCATTAAGGCTTGAAAAGATGGTGTGAACTACCTTATAAATCTCTAATGGGAATTTTACCTATGTTTGTATTGGGACGCACACCATTTTGTGTCTAGTTTTCTAGTTTCATTTTATCCATTTTATTTTCTGATTTTGCTGTGCTCTGTGAAGTAGGCAGTCTAGGGGGGAATCACATCTGAGATGCCTGTGTAACATCTGGAGCAAGTAAAAGCCCTAATACTAACTAAACATAGAAAATACACACGACCATCGTGATCCAAACCTGCTGGCCCATGAAGATTTCTTCAGTCTTTTTCCAAGATCATCTATAACTTCTGGCAGTTTCTTTTTGCAGTCTTCTAGATTTTCAAAGGCTTCACTAAATAGCACTATATCAACATCAGACCAGCCTTGTGTATCAGTTCCTTTTATATATGAGCCTCCCTGTTATGCAAGATATGCCAGAAAGATGATTAGCACTTGATTTTTTTCTGTAAACAGGACATTTTTGCAATGTTGGTAAAGCAGGCTTTAGATGCCTTCTGTAATTTCTTAGACTGTCTTGTCTACCTACTTGCAAGTAATTTATAGTTTACATGTTACTAAAGTGAGATGCAAGATGGGCCTGATCCCTGGGTCTTTCAAATGGACTTTGGATCAGGCCCTATATTAGTAACAGGATTCACAGTATCGGTGGTGGTATCTACTATAGGAATGGAATTGGGTTCAAACACCCAAATCACAAGGGCAAATCAAGTTTTCTTCACTGGGTGTTGAATATGGTTTAACCCAGTTTATGCCAGTATTCAAATTGTAGTCAACCATGTGGGGAGAAGGTGGGGGGGGACGGACGGAGGAGAAAGGCAGTGTGAGCCTTTTTGAAATTTGGTATCAAAACTGTTTATTTTCTAATGCAGAAGTACTTTTTAGTAACTAACAGATTCTCGACCTGATAAAAGCGCATCCCAGGGTTGGGTGCCAAATGCACTCTCTTGATTTTGTTAAATACATTTTAAAACTAGAGCATATCTATCAATACACATCTAGAGTTCTGCTTGATGCAATCACTGTAGTAAGAGCATAGGGCCCAACTAGGCAACCCCTACTCATGCTAATGAGTACATCCTCATGTATTTGGTACTAAGAGCCTTCTTACAATAATACAACGGCCACACTGCAGGTAGAGGTGTTTATAATCAGTTAGGAATCTCAAGTCAGTTCTTAGCAGACAGTTGTCTGCAACATAAATCCACCTTAGTAAACAGGCTTCATATGGAATGGGCATGGAAGTCAAATTGCCCTCTCACTCCTAAAAATGGTTCCTTCAGAATAAAGCTGATGTACAGTGACAGGGTGTTACAGGGAAGTTGATATGGCTATTATCTGTACTACATCAGTCCTGTGAGGATATTCAGTCTCTAGGGATGTTACTTTAGGACCTCTGGAGAACTAAATGAGCCAGTAATTTGCCTTAAAAAAAGTTTAAAAAACACTAAAAAAAAAAAAGTTTCTTCTCCTCCTGATAAGACCGCATCTTAATTAATTAGCCTCTTACAGTTGGTATGGCTACTTCCACCTTTTCATATATATATATATATCTTCTTACTATATGTTCCATTCTATGCATCCAATGAAGTGGGCTGTAGCCCACGAAAACTTATGCTCAAATAGATTGGTTAGTCTCTAAGGTGCCACAAGTACTGCTGTTCTAATATAATTGGTCTAAAAGAACAATTACAGCTAGAGGAAAGATCATCATCATAGGCTCAACTCATATTTAGGCACAAGAAACTAAATGCTACTCTTTTAAAAAGATTAAATCCTCAAACAATATGGTGGATCCAAATAATGCTACAGGTCAGACCTGAACCTAAACCAAAAGGAAATTCACTGTTTATGAGATCACTCCCTCTGGACTCTTGGGACACAAGAGGAGCTTATGGTACAGATACATACAGGCTGCAACACCTTGACAAGTGAAGGAAATGCTATTTTGTTGAACCACAATAAAAAGAGGAAATAATGTTTACCTTGATTAGCCGAGCTATTGGTAATGGGAAGCATTCCTTGATCAAATTAATAATTGCCTCAATATCTGTTGCACAGGCAATGCTTGCAGGGCCTGGAATGGGTTGAAGCTTTTCTTCTACAAATCTCTTTAGTTCTGTTGGATTTTTATAATCCAAGATATTATCAGGTGAAAATCCAGTGGCCATTTGAGCTGCACAGAAAGAAAATTAAAGTCTGATCACTAATTTGCTTGAAAAAGACTTGTTAAGAAGCTTTCATTTCATGGTCATTTCAAACTGAGTAAAATTCATCTCCAGAACAGACATGATTTTAACATAATAACAATGTTATAAATGCCTTGCTTCCTTTTAATCAGCTGTGACAGACAGCTAGTACTCAACACCCAAGGATCCACAAATGATGTAATGTTAAGTAAAAAATCATTAGTATAATACCTCAAAACCCAACATTTTATTTCCACTATGCTGTCTCTAATTCTTCCCCTTCCTTTTTATCTTCACTGCAAAAACCCTAAATAATAAATTAATGGAGATATCCCATCTCCTAGAACTGGAAGGGACCTTGAAAGAAAGGTAATCAAATCCAGCCCCCTGCCTTCACTAGCAGGACCAAGTACTGATTTTGCCCCAGATCCCTAAGTGGCCCCCTCAAGGATTGAACTCACAACCCTGGGTTTAGCAGGCAATGCTCAAACCACTGAGCTATCCCTAACCCTAGCTTTTTCTTTTTCTCTCACTCTCACACACACACACACACACACACACTCTCTTTCTCCTGGATTATCTGCTTCCCCTTCTCCAGTTTACCCCAAATACCACAGTTAAAACCTTCTTCCACACCCATTACACCAAGCTGTGGCTTTTTATGATCTCCTTCAGGCCTATTCCCTAGCAGATTAAAAGACAGTAGCCTCCCAGTACCAGGAGACTAGGAACACATTGGGAGAGAGAAAGAGTTTTATTGGCCCTCTTGAAAAGGCACCTGCTGAAAACAGCTATGGAGATTCTTGCACAGATTCTCCAAGTGCAGTGAGGGCATGTGGGAGCAGTTCCTACTGGAAGGACACAACTCCTGGTTAGGGCAAGAAAAAAAATGGGAAGGTTGGCCAACCACCAGGAGGTCCTAAAACACGATTCTCTAAGAACAAAGGGTCCCATACTCCTGTTAATTTGCTTTCCCTACTGGTGTTATTGCAGGGTTGCAAGATCAGAAGGTAGGTGGAATTCTGTGGTGGGGTTTTAAAAAGGGGCCTTAGAATGCCTCATCATGGCTAGAGGACTCTGTCAGATAATTTGAAGTTATTATCTACTCTTCCAGAATTTGTAAGGGAGAAGAAAGCTGGTGAAGTGAGATTTGGTCTAGTGACAGGACCTCTGACAGGGCCCTTTAACAATTTGAAGATTTCATAACTGGGGGGTAGTGCCAAGAAAGTCTGGACTGATTCATCATTTGACCTATTCATGGGAGGGTTTGAATAACAAATCTCATTGACTTGCAGAATTACTCAGTAAAGTAGCCATCTTTTAATCACATGACCCCCGCCTGCGGTATGAAGGCAGCTTTTTATTTATTGCTGGTTCACTCTAATACTTTTGATTTTATGGGGCTTTCAGCATACTGATAAGGCCATGCCCATGTGATTGTCATTTTCCTGTTTAGCCTTTGAACTATTTAGTATCTTCTTAGAATGGAAAGACATGGACGTGACCTGTCGTGCATGGCACATGTCCTGGACAATGTTTTGTTTCTCAGCCTTAGCAGTTTCAGGCATTGGAAAGCCTTGCTTTAAACAATTTGTTCCACCACAGACAGTCTCGGAATTCCACTGGCATAGGACAAAACAGAGGAACCGAATATATATATTACACACCTGGGCACAGAAATCGAGAGAGACTAGAGCGTCTCACTTCCCAGCCGTGAAGGTTGATCAATGAAGGGAACAGGTTAGGAAGGTTAATGGTTCGGTTAAAGTCACCCTAAACTATTTACAAACATTAGCTGGATTGTTAGGTTTTGTGTGCAGAGCGGTTGTGCATTCCTGAGCCTTATGGTGCTGGTTACACAATGACATAGCCCAGACATGGAGAGGAGTCTCCTTGGCTGTTGTGGTAAACAAGCTCACAAAAAATGTAGACTGAGAAATGAGAAAGGGGTGATGGTTTTGAGCACTGAAGTATCATGTGCTTGCCCAGAACTGTTCCACCAACAAAGGGCATTTGTTGGACATCTGTTATGGCATTTTTATCCTTGGCATTCAATTATGACAGGAGAGGTATTTGTGAGTGGTTGGCTTGGTGGGATGTCAAGCAAGCAGCTGCTAGGGGCATCTGATGGTAGTGTCGTTTTTACAGGTAGGAAAATTCAGGCCAGCTTTGGCTGAGAGAGTTTGGAGCAGGAAATAGTCATCTCCAAGACTAATTTGTTGTAACAAGGGGACAGCCATAAAGATAGTCATATCTACTGGTGAAGACTGCTGGGAGCTCAGCCTAGAGACTGCTCCAATCTTCTTTATGGGACTCAAGGTTTTGGTTTTATGGTCATCCCTATCACCCACATCTTAGTGGGCCAGCTGGTTTTCAGGTGGCCTGAGGTGATGATTTTATAACCTTTGGGTCAGCAAACAGTGAGTGGATCAAACAGGAGCTTGTTTCTGGGGCAGCTGGCCCATTACTGTAAGAATTACACATTCCACTTCTATGTTTGGTTACTGTGTGGTTGTTATTTATTTAATAGAACTGAAGCTTGTATGCCAAAAAATGTGTTTGGTTGTAGGGTGGTTTTCCTGAGGGTGCCTTTCCTAAAGGCCTTGAATAAAAAAAACCCACACACACTTTCCACATGTGTGTGAAGAATGTCTACAAACTGATCAAGCACTAAGAGAGTTCCAAGTGAGCTTCATTGCCAGAGAAGTACAAAATGTGGATGAGGACAATAGCACAAGCTATTTCTTATCCATATCCCTCTCCAACATTTAAAATAACAAGCCTGATGGCTAAGGGAGGGTTGGGTAAGACAAGGTCGTGTCAGTGAACACAAACTAATAATGTCGATTTTCAATACACTTTTTGTTCTGTAGCTTCTGATGTAGATTCATTTACTGGTGGAACATTGGGCCATATCTCTTTATTTATACCAAAAATGTTAATGCCCCGCTGTCATAAATATAAAGGGAAGGGTAACAACTCTTATGTATGCAGTAACATAAAATTCCTCCTGACCAGAGGTACAGAATCCCCTTACCTGTAAGGGGTTAATCAGTTCAATTAACCTAGACAGTCTCAAAGCAAGGAGGTATTATATTTCATAACTGCAAAATGAGGAGATTCATTGTAACCTTCACCACAAGTCCTCACCAGACACACTAGTTGGTTACCAGTAACTACAATTACCAGTGTGAGTGTCCCATAATGCATAGTGCTACGTACCCTCAATTCCTACCAACTACAGTGGGTGTTGAGAACAATCAGCACCCCACACGACTCAGTGCTCTTTCAGGAAGAGTTTTGCTGGGTAAGGGTGATAAATGGCCAACGAAAATTAATCATCTTGGGAGTGATCTCACCAGTGAAAGCGTTCGATACTTATGGTATTTAGCCCTTGATGCTCCCTCCCTAATGGCCAGTGCACTCTAGCAGAACTTCCTGTCTGTTCTGAGCAGCAGTGGTACCTCTTTTGCTGGCTGTGAAGTGATGATCTTGTTTCTCATGGTGTTCCCTGCTATGGATTGTTCCAAACTGCCTTGGGCACATCCTGCAGGAGGTAGACATTTCCATGGCTACAAATTTTGCTTCCCTCTTTGGAGGCATGTCCCAGAAACACCCTTGTTTTTCAGCAGTCATTTTTTCATGGTTGGCCTGTTAAAGGGAAGATGGGGCACACCATACATAGGAGTAAGTTGGATATAGAAAAAGGAGGCTGGCTAATACAGTGAATTGGAGGTACCTCCAGGAGCTCATCTCAAGACAAACCTCAACATTTTTAAAGCACACTATACAGGGAAAGAAGGTGGGCCACATCCATAAAGCATGTATAATAATAATAATAAAAAAAAAGGCAACCGCTCCAATAATTCCATTTTTTAGAAGTCCACCTTGAAGTCTGCCATGATTTACAACAAAATGTCTATAGGAATTATTTGAGACACTATACTTAGAATAGGAAAGAACAGTGGTAACTATGTGGTATCTGCAAGGTATGTGGACTTTTCATTGGTGACTTCTGTAAATATAGCAGCAGTGAAATAAAGCCACCACCATGGCAGCAAGCAGTAGTCAATTGGACCACAGCACAGTGCCACATTTCCTTCCACTTATAGGAACTTGATGGTCCAAATAAGTATTCATGAGATTAAGAGCAAACCACCTAAAGGAATTATTTTCTAAGAAATGTCTTCTGATAAAATCTGTACTTTACTGTTTGCAGTGGGAGCTTCCATAAGCACCAGAGGGAGGGATAGTTCAGTGGTTTGAGCATTGGCCTGCTAAACCCAGGGTTGTAAGTTCAATCCTTGAGGGGGCCACTTAGGGATCTGGGGCAAAAATCAATACTTGGTCCTGCCTAGTGAAGGCAGGGGGCTGGACTTGATGACCTTTCTTTCAAGGTCCCTTCCAGCTCTAGGAGATGGGATATCTCCATTAATTTATTTATTTTATTTATAGCATATACTCTCCCATGCTATGTCTGAGCCAGACAGGACTTTAGTCAATCCACAGAGGTTCCTTTGATTTTCTTTATAGTTTTATATAAAACGTATCAAGGTTTCCTTGGCAGAGGTGGCACTGTATTATAATGTAACAAACTAAATGGCTGTTGCTTTTGGATTGGGTGTGAAATACCTACAGTCAGACCATACTTGGAATGCACTGAGCACAGAAATTAGATATAAAATAACCCAACAGATTTTATCTATCCACATGCTATAACAGGATTTTCACCTATACTGCAGTGAGATATTCAGATATGTATATTCACTATGTATATACAGTATAAGCCATTTTTCAATTACAAGATGTACTTTCTGTTCCAATGTAAATGTCTCTATTGAATGAAAAGTAAATACAAACTGAACATACAAAAGAAAGAGCAGAGACTGGGAATCAATACAATCTGTTGTGAGAAAGAGACAGAATCAGAGCTCTCAAACAGCCTTACCGCTTCATGGTCCCGAAGTGTTTCTCTCAAAACTTCCCTACCACATTTCTCACAGTGAACTTTTCCAAGATGTTTTGCTCGGAAATGATACCTCAAGGCGGTGCGGCTGACAAAATCATTCCCACATTGCTCACAGTTGTAGGATTTTAGAGACCTCATCCTTTATAAAAAGAAATAAAAGTAAGAGGCTTCACTCCAGAGGGGCACAGAATGATTTTATACACTTGAAAAACAGTATAAACCTTTGAACAGAGCTGTGGTTAGGATAGTGATTCAAAATATATTGCACTGATATTTGCAGTATTTACCAAAATTGTTTCAAAACTTGTTTAGTCATTCAAACTTTAGTCTAATCAAATGCTGTTAAAGTTAGTGATATATTAATAATAGCTTCTATTGTCCAAAGAAAAGAGGAGAACACTCCTGAATTACATACCTAAACATTTTCTGAAGAATAAGCTGTACAGAAGCCCTGGTTTCTTTCCATTACTTTTCTTTATCATGCATACCCATTCAAAAGGGAGTTTATCACATTGAAAGAACTTTCCTGGTACAGGCCCCTGTCAAAGAAGATTCCTTTTACTTTTGCAAAAAAGGTACTTTCACTTCATGGTAAGTGTGTTTATTTCTTCGTTTCCCAGTTACCTCCATGTGAACAGGCTGAAAGCCTTTCTGCACCACTCCCCAGATGCAGAGAATTGTGGGACTTGTAGTTTGCATGTCACCAGAATGAGACCATCTTATTAATGATTCCATGTGTGGCAAGAGTTTTTCAAAAGCATGAAGAGACATGCATGATTTGAAAATAGAGTACTCATGCTTTCTATGCAGGTTAAGGTGACTCTGGAAACACTGAAACCTGAACCAGAAACTGACAAGCTGTGGTCTCAGCTTCTGTTCTTAGACTCTCAGCCTATGCTGACAGTGGAGCATTATAAGTCTTGCATTGTTCAAGGTTCATTCATTATGTTAGATGTTAAAGTAAGATCTCTTTTGCCTGGTCTCTGGAACATAGATTCTTTGGCATTTTGTGGAAAGTGTACCAGATAACACTGGTGTTCTCACCAACATTCCTTCTGTACATAAAACCGGTTTGAATGTCCAATAATATCCAGCAACAGAGAGTTCCATGGGTTATATATTGTGTACAAAGTATTGGTAGTTTTGACAGGATGACTTGTGTCAAAGTCCTACTACTTGCAGTATATTTCACAGGGAGAGTCAGACAGATATTACTGTGTTATCTCCCATACAATGGTATTTTACTATACATATTGTGTCTTCTTTTAAAGTATTGTCTTTGCTGTTTTGTCACATTCATACTTTAAAAAGCAGACTTTAAAAAGCCAAGTGGGGTCAGAGTATATCCCCAGAGTGAACTTGAGAGAAAAGACTAAGAGACTGCAAACTCTATTTTAAGAAATTAAGAGCCCTTCTCTTACTTGCTGGTTTGGGACAAGTGCTGTTTTGACATTATAATTTATAAGTAAGGGAGGGCAGTATTCTACCTACCCGCATCAATGAGAGTAAACAAAATAATTATTCAGTCAATAAGTAAACTATCTTCTTGTCAGTAAATTTTGTTCTGTTGACATCCATGTCACCACAGCATGAGTTTATATTATAGCGCTGTGTGATGCCTTCATTATGTGAGTAACACCCAATATGGGGACAGTCCATCTCTACTAGCTACTGTCAGTCCTGGGTCATAGGCTGTGCACATCCATGGCCTACAAAAATCAGATCAAGATAATATGGGGGGGAAAGCAGAAAGGAAACAAAACAGGCCCCCTCTCTCCCAGCTACATGAAGTGTCAAAACCAGAAACAGCTGCTGCTTGGCTGGCTGTGGCTGCTGGCATCACTATGCTGGTTTGGCTGGCTTGCCTACCCAAGAAGCCTCCGGTAGCTTGGTTTTCACTCCAGAAAAGAAAGAATGGGATCTCTGTGTTCTGGGGTTGCTGGGTGCCTCTATGTTGAGCACCACACACTGAGCATAGCTCATTCCAATGAGCATAGCATGGTATAAATGTGTGTTCTCTCTCTTCTCCCATCCATGGTGGCTCATTTTAACAAATATTCTCCTTCACTAGCTTCCAACTGCTCATGACCAATGACCAGGCAAACAATAGGTCTCATGGTTCCCAATACAATTCTCATCTGAAGTATCCTAAATACACCAGGACACTGTCTATACTCACCTCTCTCTCTCCCCCTCTTCTGAGCTCCAACAGAGTAAGGACAGCAGCCAGCAGTAATTCCATGGCCCTCAGCCCAATCCTTCATCTCTGGCTGGCTTTTTCTAGTGATCTCATAGTAGCTCTCCTCACAACTAGCTAGCCAAGGGTTCTTGCAAGGACTGGCACAATGTCCTTCAGCATCTCCCTTGTCCATATTCTTAAGGCAATTACCATTACTGTAAGATTGAATTATTCTTGACAATCATTCTTTCCTGTTAGCTAAGTCCTCAAACCTTGTCATGGTCCTTACTGAAAGAGGTAAAAAGCAACAACAAAAAGTCTATTCGCTCTAGACAACTGGCCTGCACAGAAAGACAGCAGCTACTCAGGCCAATAGAAGCCAGATCGTATGCCATTTCCAGAATGGTTCTCCATGTGTTTTTGGCAAAGAAACAGTTATTAAATATTAAGTAGAAACATCTCATTGATGAACAAGATGCAAGCAAAATAGCAAAGGGTTCCCTGAAAAATTTCCTGCTTTAATGAAAAGTGACTGCACATTTTGTGGATAAAAATAAATCCCATCATCATCATCATCTCTCTCTCTCTCTCACACCTCCACTCCAAAAATTCCATATTCTTCTGCCATCCAAATACATACACCCTTCCTCTCCTCTCCCTTGGCTTGCCATCCACCCCAGTACTCCATGGAAAGTCCTCTAGGAGGCTCCCTTACCTAGCAGTTGGTTTTAGCAACAGCAGAGACAGGCAGGCTGTCCTGCAGCCTTTGGTGGCACCAGTAATGGCAGGTAGGCATGCTGGTGGCCTATGGTTGTGGAGATGATTGCTTGGGTGGGTGAGGAGCGGGCATCCCCCCTTTTTGGTGGTAGTACAGGTGGTAGATTATAGATTAGAGCACAGAACCTGTCTGGTTCTTGAAGTGGATCAGTCTCTGCTGATGGTTGTGTCCTTTAATTTTTGTGAGGATTGGGTGGTGGAGCAAGTTTCCCCAAGCTGGTTTGAGTGGGGGGCCGGGGAGAGAGAAAGTAGTAGGGGAAAGGACTAGTGGCTTTCCTCCCAGTGCTATTTTCTTCATGCTGGAGGCTGAGGCTGAGCAGATGTACATCAGCAATGAGCAAGGCTTGAGCAATGAGTGTGACATCAGCTTGGCCCTACTGTCTCCTATTTGGGCACAGAGAGGTTACAGGGATCACATGGTACAATGTCCATCCACTCCAAGTTGTGTTGATGGGGGACACAGGAAAGTCATTCCACTTTAATAGCTGGTAGGCACACCACTGCTCCAAACTGAGCAGCAATTGTCTCAGTCCTAGGCATAAAGGAGGATGAAAGGGTTAACAAGAAATTCTTCCTTAACATTTTTGGTCGGGCCTGCAAAACACTTTTAGGGGGCCCTTCCCCCAAACATACTTAGATCCTGTCCTCCAATATTCCACCACTACACTGGAGTCAGGATGCTAGGATGGGTAAGGGAAATGTAAGTGTAGGTGTATGGGGGAGGGATAATTAAATATGTTCCCCAAATCTCCATCCATGCACACATTTTCTGTCTTCTGCTGAAGAAGTTGAGCCTGGTTTCTTGTGCCTGTCAACCCTAGCAACTAGAGGTTGTATTTAAATCCCTGTAGGAGCGAGAGGGGGCTGCAGACAGAGAGAGACTGAGGGCACGCACAGGAAGGGTGTCAGCCTGTCAGAGCTAATCCCCAGAATTGCCAGGAGGAGGCACCCTGCCTAGCTGTGAGTGGACCCCTTCACAGGTGCTTATGAAAGGTGCTGCACAGAAATCCTCCATCTACCCTTTAAATAATAATACCACCACCACTAGGCTTTTATATAGTGCTTTTCATCCATACCTCTCAAAGCCTTTGCAAAAGGAGGTCAGTATTATCATCACCATTTTACAGCTGGTGAAACTAAAGCACAGAGGTGAAGTGACTTGCTCACCATCACCCAGAAGGCCAATGGCAGATCTGGGAATAGAAACCACGGATCACAGTCCAATATTCTATCGACTATACCACAGTGTCACGCACACACACAATGGCAGTAACTGTGCAAACTTACTGACACAATCCTGCCAATGTGCTTCAAACCTGACCTCCAAGGACCATCTTTACAGGGCAGGGCAGATTTCTTAACTAGTGAGTCCTCGGTTTGTCTGCTGATACTGCAAACAATGGTGCCAATTGTGATGATAGTGGCCTTGTGATGTGGACATCTGGTAACTAGAGGGACTGGACTGAGAGCAGTAGCTCATTTCACATTGAGCAACCAGCTGCTGGAGAACAATTTTTGCTTACAACTTGAACAAGTGACTTTGCATTGAAAGGCTCCTTATAACCAGTTAACAGCTCTGATTAACCCCTCCACAACATTTGAGTTTCCAAGAAAACACACCGTCGGGGAATAAATCAAAACAGTCAATAGATGTTAATGTTCATTATGACAAACATTCAGGTGAAGTGAAAAGTACTTGGCTCTGGAATTTGCTTCCAAGCTTGGTTCACCACACTACTATATATGATAACTTTTACTATGTACTGTAAGATACTGCTGTTTTCCCAGGAGTAGTCAGTGGCACTTCAGCATGTGCTCACAGCCTTTGTTGAATATAGGTGACTTAGACATGTGCTTAAAGTTAAGCATGTGCTTATATACTTTGCTGAACTAAGGCTTTGGTGCAGTTTACTCTCAGAACTATCAATTTTCTGATTCTTTGAAGATAGAAAGGTATGGATAGAAAGAGGGGGAACAATCCAAATTCAGGAGTGTATAATCCAAAAAAAAAAAAAAAAAATTGTGTGGGGAAGGGGAAATTAAATACTTTAGATTAATTATTGTACCATAGTTTGATAAGTACCTTTACAATTAACTCAAATGATCACATCATTCTCTCAAAGCTAAATTGTCATCTATAAAAGGTCTGGATTTGTACTACTGCAGCAGATTTAAGTACCAC